CTTTTCTTCTTTTTGATTCAGTGCTTTTGGTATCTGCACAAAGTATAAATTTTTGGCATCAGACACATCTTTGTTTGAAAGTTCAAGTTTGGCTTTGACCAGCTGTTTGACTTAGCAAGCAAGCACCTGAACCTCTATTTCACGTGGGTGAAATGTGCCTCCAATTGTAGGTGTGTTTTGACTAATTCAATTACCACTAGCTCTTATAAGCAGAGAGATCCACTGCTTATTCTTGGTGGCTTTTATTAGGGTACTTAGTGTTTTCTAAACTACTACTATTTTCTAAAATCTTATTTGATTGGAATCAAATATTACATTAAGTGTGGGGGTGTGATACGATAAGCTAACATAACGTCAAAGCACACCTACAATGGGAGTAGTAATTGGTATTCTCACCCCAAAACAGCAGTAACCTACCTCCCTTCTTTTCTCCCTCCCTCCCTTCCCCCCCTGCCCCCCCGTCTCTCCCTTGATGGGAGATGTCATTCTGTAAATAAGTTTATCTTATTGGTTGATGAATAAAACACTGTGGCCAATAGGGCAGCAAAATAGGAGGGTGTAGGAGATGAGGAGGATTCTGGGAGGTGTAGGCAGAGAACAGTAGTCATGTAGGTCACCAGAGGAGTAACAGGTTCTCGGACCTTTCTCCAGTAAGATAAGACCATGTGGAAATACTTAGATTGAAGGAAATGAGTTAATAATTAAGACAGAACTAGCCAATAAGAAGCTCAAGTCACTGGCCAACAGTTTCGTAATTAATATGGTGTCTGTGTGCTTATTTGGGGCTCAAGGACCGCAGAACCTGCTGGACCAAGAAAGCTCTTGTAACACTCCCTTGATTATTGCATTTATAAGTTTTTGGTCCTTAGGAGTGATGCATAGCTTCACCCAGCTATCAGGCCCTGAAAAACTATAAGGCATTTCAATAGGGATTCTGTCACATCAGAAAAGTGTATCGGCATAACTTCTCTTAAGAAATGTTATAATTTATGATGACTAACTTGAGAAAGATTTAGTCTTCCTTGACAATGAACCCCCTAATTGGTTATCCATTACCAAGTGGTCAACCCCAAAATCATATATATGCAATCAATACCAAATTAACTCAGCAGGTTGTATTTATGCATATATGTATATATGTAACATTAATAACTAAAGAAAAGAGGATAAAATTTGAGAGCAGTTGGAGAGAGGTTGGCGAGAGGAAGAATGATGTAATATTTTAATTAAAAATTTAAAAAGCAGTAACTTGGAATGCAGTTACTCCTTAAGATTGTGAGCCATTAAATGGAAAATCCAGTAATTTATTTGAAGACAATTTTGCATGCTTTATTTTCATACCAGAAATCCTTGAACTGAAATTCTCATCTGTAAATATTTATTCCTTTTAAATAAAATATAAGTTATTTTATCATAAGCCCTGATAGACTCCTTGCATTCCTGTTTTTCTCTGCAAACCTAGCCATAATTATTTTTTGGTTTTAGAGTGGCATTAGACTGTCTATTTTTGACAAATACACTACTAATAAGTGCAGTATATAATATGGCTTTGGAATTTATTCTGGGCATGGTACACCCTTTGTAAGCCCAGCACTTAGAAGGTTAGAGGCAGGGAGGATGAGCAGACCCACTGCTAGGCTATATGATGCCCTGTCTCTAAAGAGTAAAGTAAAATTTAAAATCCATAAGGCAAAATTACATTAACTATATGGATGTTAAGGCTTTGTTGTTTTCAGAACGCCTTTGATCTCTGAAAATCCAAAACACAGCAGTTAATTTCTCACAACTATAATTTGTTAATAAAAGTTTCATATTGATTCGTGTTTTTTATGATTTTTTCAATAGTGCCTTGCCTGTTTTGTAAGTTCAAATTATAAAACAAATCATTATATAACCAATTGAATTATAACATTTAGAAAGAAAATTGCTACCCAATTTTTTAATAAAATATCTATGATTGTCTGAGCTTTTCCCAAATGCATAGACAGAGCCTCTTTGGGTTTACCTACTTCTATGTGTGTGCACCACTTCCAGGATCATATACGGATTATATATACCTCCCAGGATTATTCACAACTGGGAGAAGGTGCACAGGAAGTATCTAGTGACTGGAATCTCACTTAAGGAACTAATGACCCTCCTCGAATGCTCCTTCCATGAGGGAGCATCAACAGGCCTCCTCCTGATGCTTGAATAATCCCAGCTGCTCTGCTAAAGTAGAAATGGCTCTTATGTGAAAGCAGTGTCCCTTACCACTCTCCTTCTGATTTAGTCTCTTCAAGGAACAGTCTTGGGCTTACCTAGTGAGTGAGCCTGAATACCATTTTACCACCACCCAAAATAAAACAGTTTAAAAAATCAGCATTTTTGATACAATGTAATATTTGAATATTTTCTATAAAGTGTTTCTGGGAGAAGCTGAAATATTCAGTGAAGAATTAGTGAACAATTAGTCCTGTAACCACCAGGCACATCATGGAACAAACTCAAGGCTTCTTTTTTTGTTTTGCTTTTCGAGACAGGGTTTCTCTGTGGCTTTGGAGCCTGTCCTGGAAGTAGCTCTTGTAGGCCAGACTGGTCTAGAACTCACAGAGATCTGCCTGCCTCTGCCTCCCGAGTGCTGGGATTAAAGGCGTGCACCACCACCGCCCAGCCAAACTCAATGTTTCGATATGTCCTAGTAGAGCCTCTATATGTCTGCTTGAGTTCACCTGTAAGACCAGAGCTGGGGAAGGAGCTGGGAGTGCAAAGTGCAGTATCTGCTTTTGGCTTAGTCACATGATAAGCTCCGTGATGTTATGCTAGTCATGGATATCCTCTGGAATTCAATTTCTTTATCTATAAAATGAAGGATTTGAATAAAATGATACCCAGCACTGATACCACTTAGAAAATGATAGACTTGGCTCAATGAAGCTAAAAAGTAAAATTTAAAAGTTGTGAAAATGAATATGGTCTGGGAGAGTGTGTGTGTGTGTGTGTGTGTGTGTGTGTGAGAGAGAGAGAGAGAGAGAGAGAGAGAGAGAGAGAGAGAGAGAGAGAGAGAGAGAGAATGAGAATCAATCAGGCTGTCTCTTAGTTTCTGTTGTTTTAACAGAATTTGTGAGAAAATATATTTATTTGACTTATTATTTTTAGTGTTGAGAATTCAAAGAACGTGTCATGAGTGTCTTTGTTCCATAGTGGATGATCAAAGAGGATGAGTGGGAGAGTTCCCTTAGTAACAACTCATTCCCAAAGCAGCACTGATTCATTAATGTGCAACCTGTGGACATCTCTAAAGTTCTAAGGCTTACTGCTATCACAGTCGAAATTAACTTTCAAAAGAGGGTTGGTAGAGACATGTGAAGCTCAACAAATCCCAACCTGTACTGTCTAGATGTACTGTCTTCATATCCCCAAATGCATGAGAGATGAAAGAAGGGGCAATGTGGTACTTCAAAAGGAAATCAGGAGGTAGAATGTAAGCCAAGTTTGAATACAGTTTATTCTCAGAATACCTCCTTACCTCATAAAGAAAGTAGTACTGGCTTGAGAGTTATTTTTCTGCATGTGTGAGTAGTAATTCCATGATTAAAAAAATTTACATTTTTATTTATGTGTATGAGTGCTCTATCTGCATGTACACCTACATGCCAGAAGAGGGCATTAGATCCCACTATAGATGTCTATGAGCCACCATGTGGGTGCTGGGAATTGAACTCAGGACCTCTGGAAGAGCAGCCAGTGCTCTTAACCGCTGAACCATCATCTCTCCAGTGTTCCATGATTGCTCTTATGTATTTTTTTTAAATTTCTATTGACGGTAAGAGGTCATACATAAGAGATTTGGAGTGCTTGAAACTTGGAAATAGTGGAAATCATTGTGGTTTTCTGTTTGGTGCGTATGTATCAGAGAGTAATATGTTGAAGGCCTGGCTTGATTCTGTTTCTCAGAGGTAAATGCTTTTGTAGAAACAATAGGTTTCTACAAAATGATATTAACTGTAAAATGACTAAGGAGAGAAGGAGCATTTACAGCATCAGTGACAATCAATAGTCTAAACTTGATAAATTTCCAAGTTTGGGATATGAAAACCTGGAGTCCCTTGACAACTTATGACAGTTTTTAAGTCAACTTGACTTCAGAACAACTATGTTCTTAAGTATGTTGTTAAAGTAGTCATATCAGGGACTCATGTTCCAAGATTGCTGACTGAATTAGGACATTGAATGGCCATGAAACAAATATTAAATGCACCTTTGAAAGACCTAAGGGTATTTAACCAGAAACCAGCAGGACAGATTTTATATATATATATATATATATATATATATATATATATATATATGTATGTATGTATGTATGTATGTATATATGTAATATGTATATATATATGTTAAATTAGAAACAATCTTATTTTACATATCAATCCCAGTTCCCTCTCCCTCCCATATCCCCAACGACCCCCCCCATCCCATTCCCCAGGGAGAGTGAGGCCTTTCATGAGGGATCATTGAAATCTGACAAGTCATTTGAGGCAGGGCCTAGGCCCTCCTCTGTGTATCTAGACTAAGAGATTATCCCTCCATGGGAAATGGGCTCTCAATGTCCATTTACGCACTAGGGATACATCCTGGTTCCACTGCCAGAGGCCCCATAGACTGCCCAGTCCTCCTAGCTGACACCCACATTCAGGGGGCCTGGTTTGGTCCTATGTTGGCTCCAGACTGTCAGACTGTGGTCCATGAATTTCCACTTGCTCAGGTCAGCTGTTTCTGTGGGTTTTCCCAGCATGGCCTTGACCCTTTTGTTCATCACTCCTTCCTTTCTGAAACTGGATTCCAGGAGTTTTGCTCAGTGCTTGACTGTTGGTCTAGCAGGACAGATTTCTAAGAACAATTCATTATAATCACAAAGATTGGCCTGTACCAGTATTTGGTATCCTCATTTTCTTTTTGTATGACTTACAGGAGTGCTTATGTGCTATATGACAGTGATAAAATTCTTTTCTTCACAGAATCAGAGTGAGAGGTTTGCTTTCCTTGCAGAGTGGTATGATCCCAACGCTTCACTGCTCCGACGCTATGAGCTCCTGTTTTACCCTGCAGATGGATCTGTTGAAATGGTAAATGAGGGCTAGAACCATGGCTCAGTTGGTAAAGTGCTGGCTGTGCAAGCCTGACGACCTGAGTCTGATGCTCAGCAGCCGGGAAAAGCCAGGCAAGGTAGTGCCTGCCTGTAATCCAGCACTGTGTAATTCCAGTAGAGATGTGGGACTTACTGGCTAGATTGTCTAGCTGAATGGGTAAGCCCCAGGTCCAGTGAGAAGTCCTGTCTCAGAAGGCAAGGTGAAGCAGGTATGGTGGTGCAAATCTTTAATCAAGCACTCAGGAGGCAGAAACCTGGCCAGTCTTTGGTTGTGGCCAGCTTGGTTTACATAGAAAGTTCCAGGCCAGCTTGGGCTACCTAGTGAGACTCTGTCTTAAAACAAAACCAACCAAACAAACAAAAAACCTCCCCCAAACAAAAAACAAAACAAATAAAAGTAAGGTGTACAACTTCTGAAAACAAGACCTGAAGTTCTCCTTTGGCTTCCAAGCATGTTCATGGAAGTCTGCTCATACATGGGAGCTCACACACTGATAAATAGCCTTTTTTGCAAAGTTATTTTTTATGGGACAGGGAGAGAATAAGACTGCCTCTAGTAGGTTGATTTTGATCTTGCATTTGAAAAATATATTTTTTCTTTTTAATTGAAAACAGATTTTTTTCATGCAATATATTCTGATTACTCCTTCCAAATTTTCCCATCTTCCCATCACACCCTTTCTTTCTCTCTTTCATTAGAATATAAACACGTGTCTAAAAAACAAAATAAAAATAAATCAGAATATGACAAAACAAATAGGAAAAAGAAAGCCAAAGGGAAATGCACGGGAAACACATACAGACATTGAGATAGAGACATTGGCACACACAGCTTGCAGGGTACACTGATGTAATAGTGGCCCGAAGGTGTGGGAGTAACCAACTACTTCTGAAGATATATTTTTATTGGGATCCTTGTTTCTCGGCGGTCATTAATATATCAATGCATGAAGACAGCTTTCTGCTGGTATTTTTTTTTCTGAGTTATGAGGCAGACAGAATTCTACCACACAGTGTAGAATAGCTTCTCACTTACAATCCTGCATCATCTCAAATGGGGTTATAAATGTGCACCTTCACACCCAACCTTGTTGCAGATTTCTAACCAAATTTTTCACAACTTTTTTGACATTAAACATATAGGAACAGCTTAAAATTGGTGACATTTGACTTTAATTTCAATATTTAGGAGGTTGAAGCAGGTGATTCACAAGTTCAAGGTCACCTAAGCTATATAGCAAGATCTTTTCTCAAAACAAACAAACCTAGAGAGGCACTCTCCGTGGGTAATAACACTGGCTGTGAAAGCATGAAGGTCTAAGCTTGAACATTAAGTGCCTACGTAACAGCTGGGCCTTGTTCCATGTGATTACATCAACATTGAGTTGCAGAGACAGGCAGCTCCCCAGAGCTCTCTGGCCAGCTAGTCTAGCTTAACCAGAAAACTTCATGTTTAGTGAGAGACCCTGTGTCAATAGAATAAGGTGAGAAATGACAGAGAAAGACACCAGACAACTTCCGCTGGCCTTCTCATGTATGCATGTACACCTACCTAGATGCACATACATGAACATGCATGCATAACACATACACACACACAGATAGTGATAGACAGAGAGACCCCAAACTGAAGTGGGACAACTGGGGTTTTAGATTAATCCATATTTGATGAGTGGTTATAGGTAATGGTTATAGTAACAGATATTATTATTAAAAGTTAGTTTCTGTATAAAAAGTCTAATTGAAGAGGATCTCAGAGGGTCCCTTTCTTTGCATCCCTTCACTGGTAATTTCTTTAAAAAGTCAGCCTATTTGGGAGTGGAGGGTCTAGAGAGGCGGCTCAGCTAACAGTGTTTGCTGCTCTTTTAGGTCCCAGGTGTGGCTCCTAGCACTTCCGCATCTTTAAGAGTTAGGCAGTGTACAGCTGCAGCTCCTGTGCGCCTGCACTCACATGCACACACCCACATAGACAGTGACACACATGTATACACATATTTAAGTAAAATACAAGTTTTAATGAGCTTTTTCAGTATTGGAATGCATATGTAAAATTAAGGAATGGGAGAATATGACTGTCTCTGTGGTTCATAGGTGTTGAGTTACTGAAGCAGTTTGGTTAAAATAAGTCTATTCAGGGTATTTTAAAGTATATATTTTTATTATTACTAAATTGGATTTGGAAATAGAGATTTATAGTATAAAATATGGTTTATATGTGTAGTGAAAAAGTAAAAGGGTATAGCTATCTCTGGTAAGATAAACAAGTGGAAAACTGTCACTACTTCCCAGTAAGGTTAACATTCTTTACTTATATGTTTCATCATGTTTGGTTCTAGCATGATGTAAAGAATCGTCGCACCTTCTTAAAGCGGACCAAGTATGAGAACCTGCGCTTGGAAGATTTATTTATAGGCAACAAAGTGAATGTCTTTTCTCGACAACTGGTGTTGATTGACTATGGGGACCAATACACAGCTCGCCAACTGGGCAGTAGAAAAGAGAAGTAAGAAAACAGTTATGTCATCTTTTCCATTGAAACATTATGTATGACTTTGGCTACTAACTTCTGATTTCTGTTTCTCAACTGTGTTTTCACAGTGTACCATTTTTTCCAGTGACCCAATATAATGTTATAACATTCTTTTTTAATAGTTTGGAACTGATTTAGGATTTGTTAATGATTAGAATAACAAAATGATATCTGTAGTCTTGGGATGTGATTATTTTGGGGGGAGATATAAAGTTTTTACACACGCTATCATTTTTTAAAAAAATTTCTCACTAAAACGTAAGACTATTTGAGCATAAACTGTTCTTCCTAAGGATAAACAGCTTTGGGAGAGAGGAAGTAATGATGCATGAGTTACTGTAAACTCAGAAGACAACGAAGTTTTTTCTTGCAAAACTGAAGGCTTTGTGGAGTTGTTGGGTGTTGATAAACGATAATTGAATTATCACGCAGTTAGATGAGCTGTGATCAAATGCTAGCCAAAGGAATGAGTGTAAAGAAAGATACAAAGGCAGGAAATCCTATCTTAAGTTGAGAAGAACTGTTGTTTTGCTTGAATAAGTTGGTGGCTAAAACTTAAAAAAATTTAATTACTAAAATAATGATCCTACTAATTATGTTAATAATAGGTATGGATAGGAAATAGTGTACGTGATTAATAGAAATGGAGTAAAGAAGGCTGGGGATGTAGCTCAGTTGGTAGCGTGTCTAGAATGGATAAAGCCCTAAAGTTCTGGGTTTGAGCACCAGCACTGTGTAAAACTGGGGGCAGTGGCACATGTCTGTCATCCCAGCACTTGGGAAGTAGAGGTAGAAAGATCAGAGTTCAAGGTCATATGAGGTTACATAGGGAGTCTTAGGTCAGCTTGGGTTACATGAGATCCCTCCTTAAAAAATAAAATAAGACGGGTAATGGTCTTTAATCCAAGCACTCAGGAGGCAGAGGCAGTTGGATCTGTGGGTTCAAGCCTGGCTTACAGAGTGCGTTCCAGGATGGCAAGAACTGTTACACAGAGAAATCCTGTTTCAAAAAACCCAAATAAATAAATAATCAAATAAATAAAACTCAGAGACTGTCCAAGTCCACAAGAATGGAAGCTTTAGAGACATCTGGATGAGAAGCTGCCTCAAGGAGATGCGCTAAGTGAAACAAACCAAGATAACAAAGGATAGACTCTGTTCCAAAGAGAGGAAGATCTGGAGAACATCGGAATCACAAAGAGAGAAATAACTTGTTTGGGGGAATTTTATTCAGCTACAAAGAGTGAAATTCTGACATCTGCAAAAAAGAGGTTAGAACTGGAAGTCATTATGTTAAATGAAATAAGCTAGACTGACAATAGATATCATATGCCTTCTTTAAAATGTGGAATATGGATGGATGGATGGATGGATGGATGGGTGGATAGATGATAGAGTGTAGAAAGGAAACTATGGAGGAGAGAATGGGGAGTGGGGAACAAGAAATTGTAATAGAATATATATGTCATGAAAGCAGAGACTATTGGCGGGAAGGGAATGGTACTAAGAAATGAGTCACCATTGGGGAGGGCAGCACGATGTGAAAAAGAACAGAGTATAATGACACGAAAATGTCACTAAAACATTTTTTTAAAGAGAATGATGTCAACTGTAAAGTGTGGGGGGAAAAAAGGGCTACCCAGTGGGAAGGAGTGTGCAGCACACTGCTCCACCGTGGCTCCCTGGCAGAGCTGGCAGGAAGGGTGGGAGCAGGGAGGGACAGAGCCCCATCCAAAGTGTAAGCCAGGTGACGCTTGTGAGAAGACACTAGCATTGTCAAATGGAATATATATTTATGAAAGGGGACCAACCTGAGAAGGAGGGATGTGGAGGTGGCTAAGGGGTGTTAGATGAGCAAAGTTAATGTTGTATATTATGAAAGTGTGGTAGTGGAACCCATTGCTTTGTGCAATAACTAAAATAAATTTTAACACCTGAAAAACAAAAAGACACGAGAATTTATACATAGGAGGCTAGATAGGACCTGGAAATGGTTCTTCTCATCCTGTTTTACTTCATTTTTATGTCTTTTATGTCACTGAGCAAATCCTTTTAGACATTGCAAGTGCCTAATCTGTGTCAATTGAATTAATAAATTGCAAACTCGTTTATCTGCTTTTTTTTTTGTATTTCCTTTCTATTCTCAAGATATGACTTTTGATCTAACTGATAAGGAAGTTAAAGCTGTTTGTCACTAATGTCTGTTATTGAGCTTAGTCATAGAACTAGCATGTCTAATAAGGGTTGAAGACATGACTAACAAAAGACAATGAATGTAAAAATGAAAAAAGAAAAGAAACTGTAGGAAAAAACTGGGATGCAGAGAAGCCAATCTGTCTCTTGTTCACAATGGTCCTGCAAACCTTTATTGAATGAATGAATGAATGAATGAGTGGGATTATGTCATCGTAAATGAAGGGGTAAGATGACTGGCAGACATTCCTGCCTTCCTCATCCCTCCCTGCTATTGCACTAGCTTGCTTTAGTTAACAAATGAGATAAGGCATCGTATAAAGAGAAAGGCTAAATAGAAAGGTTAATTTGCCTCATTGTTTTGGAGCTTTCATCCTATGACTGGTTGACCTCACTGTGTTGGGCTCAGCAATACAACACACTATGATGGGATACTGAGTGGAGGAGGAGGCTCTTCACCTCAGGACAGAAAAGTAAAGACAGTCTGCTGCCCAACACCTCCCAGAACAACACACCATGATGGGATACTGAGTGGAGGAGGAGGCTCTTCACCTCAGGACAGAAAAGTAAAGGCAGTCTGCTGCCCAACACCTCCCAGAACAACACCCCCTGCAAATTCTACCATAGAACTATAAGCTTGGGACTAAGCCTTTCCACATGGGTCTTAAAGGACAAGTGTCCAGGGATGACATGGCTTCTCTGGGAGGTGGATAAACTGTAGTTCTGAGCCCCACGTGTGCCTTTTATTCTTTCCTTATTGCTTGCATTCCTGATCTTCTTTGGTTTTGGTTTGGTCAGAAAGAAACCAAACCAACTGGAGATGCAACTAAAAATCAAGCTTTATAGGAAAAAAATGACTTAATAATAACTCTCTTCTGAAAACTGATTTCCAGTGTTAAGAAAATGGCATTTTAATTATTCAGTGTCCACATTTATGAACTGCAACATTCTGGGAATAGATTAAATATGTTGGAAATGAAATTTTAATTCCTTCATCTTTCTTTGGTCTAATTTTGGAGATTTATTGGTTGAAAGGTTTTTGGGTTGTTTTTTGTTGTTGTGCATATGTAGTTATTGTTGTAGTTCTTAACATTGGGGATCATTGTTGGAAGTTAAGATTGTATGTTTAGAAAAGTTCCAGAAACTACTTAACTCAAAATGAAAAAACAAAAAATCAGTCAAGTCATTTCTTAATGCCTACTACCAAAATAGTTGAGTGCCTAGTATCTGCTGTAGCCTCTGTAGAGTAGGGTATTTCTTTCTGTGACTTCCTTATCCTTTCTTTACAGTCTCTTTCTAATTCTTGAGGTGTAGTGAACAGGAGGTAACGGTCAAATGTAGAGTGATTGTGTCGTGGGAGACCATCAAAGGGCAACTGTTAAGTTGGGAAGGCCTACAGTACTAGACCAAGAGGCATCATTTATTCTAATGAGATCTGATGTTAAAAGTCAATGAGAGTAAAGAAATAGCGGCTGTAACTCCATGCGGTCGTGTGGGAGTACATGCCTGTATGTGTGCACTCGTGTGTGTGTGTGTGTGTGTGTGTGTGTGTGTGTGTGTGTGTGTGTGTGTGTGTGTGTAGGTCAGAGTTGACACTGGGAATCTTCCTCTATCACTCTGTGCTTTATTTATTTATTCAGACAGGGTGTCTGACTGAATCTGGAGCTCACTGATTGGTTAGACTGTGGCCACAAAGCATCAGGCATCCGCCTGTTTCTTCCTCCCTTGTGCTAGGATTACAAGCGCACAACCACCATGCTTAGTTTTTAACTCAGGCCCTCATGCTTGTGTGGCAAGAACTTGACCTACTGAGCCATATCTTCAGCCTCTATAATCCCTTTTGTGATTAATAAATATCTATAGCTTTCACTCACTGTGGATAATAATATATCCAAGTGTCCTGGCTAGTTTTATGTAAGCTCGTCACAAGCTAAAGTCACCTGAAAGGAGGAAACCTCAATTGAGAAAAATGCCTTATAAGATCCAGCTGTGAAGCATTTTCTTAATTAACGATTGCTGTGGGAGGGTCCTGCCCACTGTGGGTGATGTCATCCCTGGGCTGCTGGTCCTGGGTACAGAAAGCAGGCTGAGAAAGCCATGAGGAGCAAGCCAGTAAATATCACTCCTCTGTGGCCTCTGCACCAGCTCCTGACTCCAGTTTCCAGCCCTGTTTGAGTTCCTGTTCTGATTTCCTTAAATGATGAACAATGAATGATATGAAAGGGTAAACCAAATAAACCTTTTTCTCCTCAACTTGCTTTTTACTCATGGTGTTTCATCCCAGCAACAGAAACCGACAGTTAGTCACGGTGATGGGCACTGTGCATACTCATCTCAGCTCACGACAACTTTAGGTTTTCATTTAAATTAGCAGAGGTACTGAGAAGCTGGGATTCATAGTCTCACTGGAGCCAAATAAAAGTAAAACTGGTCCTAACAATTGTTACTTCTGTCTTTAACTCTGATTTGTGAGGAATGAAATAGTAAAGTCCGTTGGCCAGTCACATATCTAGACAGTAAAAGGAAACAAACTCTGTTTTTTTTTTTTTACTCCAAAATGTATCCATTTTTTGCTACACTTCTAAAGCTGTTGGGTGGAATGAAATTTTAAACTGGATATACTTTAATGTGCATAATCATTTGAAGGATTTGGCCTTTGTAGTTAATGAAAATGCATGCAGTAGTATATATATTGGCTTAAATTATTTCACCATTGTCTCTTCTGATTCTTTTCTAACTGCAGCTGGGTAGTAAATAATAGCAGTCATTTGGGTGACTTGAATAAAGTTTTGAGTCCAGGAATCTCAGCTGTCTTATGCACCCATTGCCCTGAGAAGTAGTGTTAGTATTCCACGCTGCATTGAGGGTGGTATCTGTGCTTAGAAGGAGTCGAAAGATGGCTTGCTGGGCTCAAGGAGAAAGACATAACTCTCTTTTGAATGTGTAAGTACATCAAGTAATTGCAAATGTTTGCTTAACTCAGACAGTCGTCATTAATGCAGCTCTATCCATGGGCTCCCTCTTCTTATGTTACCACTGGAGATTCTGCTCAGTCCTCGGATGCATCTGCATGTTTCTGTTCAAGTTATCTTCCACCCCAGCTGCAAAACCATGTGTTCATCGGTTTCTGAACAGTTCCACCTGGATTTTCCACAGGTTCTTAAAAATTAACAAATTCAAGATGGAGCTCTGTTTTACTCAGTAACCTGCTCCCTCTGCTTTCCCAGCATTCGCAGTCATTGAGGTTGAGAGTTTCCTGAATCCTACCATCATTGTAACCCCACATCCACACAGGGGTCACGTTATCAGTTTATCTCCCCCAACAACGTTCTTATTTATCTTTTCAACATTGCATCATTTTGTGATCCTTTCAGCCTATTTTGTCTGCATTCCCCTCTAAATTATTGTTGCAAAACCCGTAGCACCAGAATCTGAAGTATTTATTGGCTTGTAAGTCTTTATCTCTTCTTTGGTATTTCTTCCTTATGTTAATGCCCGCCCCCATCTCTCGTATTATCTTTATGTGGTGATTATTATGTTTATATATGTGGGAGTATTGCATAAATGTGTATGATAGGTATGTCTGTGTGTTTGTGCTGAATTACTTGAGGGACAGAATACAGTTTCTTTGCTCTGGGGGAGGAGCTGTTGTTTCTGTCTATTTCCTAGAGGGATGGCCGTTATCTGTTATCCAAGTTCAAATATTTAAGTTCTAGGGCTGGTGAGATGCTCAGTGGGTAAAGGTGACAGCTGCTAAGTCTTAAGACCTGAGTTTGAGTCCTGGGACCCATATGGTAGAAGGAAAGAATTGAGCCTCTCAGACTGTCCTCTGATCTCCAGATGTATACCACAATGTGTGCACCCACAGACAGACAGACAGACACAGACACACACACACACACACACATACACACACACACACACAATTTAAAAGTGTAATTAAACTTTCTGTTTTAGTTCTGAACCTGTGTGATGTGAACACATGCCTTCTGGCTTGCCCTGAAGTTGTAGAATTGGTCCAAACTATTTTAGGAATGATCATCTGTTATAGTCTATTTCCTCCTCTAGTACTGCAGTGTATAGTAAAGTTCAGATTGCCAGAGGCCGTGCTGGCAAGTCAAAAGTAACAGTGATTCTCACCTTTTCCAGACCTTGTAGTACAAACTTTCTTAATAGTTATTTACTAGCTAGTCAACTCATCTCTGCCTTAAAAAATGATTTGAAAGGTTCTTGGCATGGCAGTACATGTCTGTAATTCTAGCACTCAGGAAGCTCAGACAGGAGGGTTGAAAATTCAAGGTTATATATAGCAAGATTCCTTCCTTGCTTCCTCTCTCCCTTCCTCCCTCCCTTCTTCCCTTCCTTCCTTGCTTCCTTCCAATAAGTATTACTCATGTGATAAAAAGTTTTCAGCCAGGCAATGGTGGTGCATGCCTTTAATCCCAGGACTTGGAAGGCACGTGTGGGTGAATCTCTGAGTTGGAGGCCAGCCTGGTCTACAGAGTGAGTTCCTGGGTAGCCAGGGATACACAGAGAAACCTTGTCTTGAAAAACAAAAACAATAACAACGGCAACAACAACAAAATGTCTTCACTAGAAGGATTTCTCTGAACAGCTTTGCTGTTGTTACCAGATGAATCATTCACAGAATGTGTTTTGTTGTCCTTTATCTGTGAAAAGTGAGCACATACTTTATGCTTGCAAAGAGAGCATAAGAGAAATCACAAATTGGTTGTTATTTAAAATGGGTTGTTACGTACTTAGAACAAGCATGAGTACATTCTGAAATGTTTTTATAGATGAGTGTGTTTATTCCTGTAAGTTCTGCGTTCAGAGGGCCTGGCACAGAACTGACATGCCCCTTGCACAGTGTTCACACTGTGTTATCTAGGATGTTGTTCAATGGCAGGCTGCTGATTGTCTTCTCACAGACAAGCTTGCTGCAGTTTGTTTAGAGTGTGATGTCCATGAAAGATGTTCTTCTCTGTGGCTCTGGGAGGATTGTTGTTTTTCAATATCTACATCCTGTGTGCCTTGGTAAAGGCTGACCAATCTGTTTTCTCACTGTTCATTGAGAAAGTTAATTTATCCTAAAGGATTTCATACTGTTTTCTCTTGAACTGCCACCTACTACATATAATAGGTGCTTGGTTTCGTGCTAGCAAGGAGATGGCTGTGGGAGCTTGCTGGACACAGCAGGGCTGGTGGAACTTTTTGGAAGTAAAAGCATGATTCATGTTTAAAGGCTACCATGGCATATGATATTGACACGTGTTGTTGGGTGAGAGGGCATTTGGGTCTTTGTGTTTCAACCTTGCCATGAATAGAGACCTAGTAGAAGAATTTTTACTTTTGAGTCAGTGCTTAACTGAGAAAACATGACAGGCATAAGTTTAAATCATTAGAGAGCTAACACTAAATTTCTAGTATATCTAGGGCAATCCTGGGAGTTAGTTCTCTATATAAAAAAGTCCTATAACATAAGCATCTTAAACACCCACATTTTCTAATTTGGGTATTTAAACACACACACACACACACACACACACACACACACACACATTATTTTAGGGCTGATGAGATAGCAGTTAAAGGCATTTCCCATCAAGCCAGAGGACTGAGTTGTATCCCTGAGACTCACATGGTAGAAGAGAGCTGACTCTCACAAGTTGCCCTCTGGCCTCCTTGCATGAAATGCTCATGCTCACACACATATAATCACACATGAAAAATAAGTAAATGTAATAAAAATAGCAATTTTTATTGCTCCTTCCTATGTATTTTCTTCTATTCTTCCACCACTTCCTCGTATTTTATTTTTTATATGTAGAATATTGTTATATATTGTTGACTGGCCTGGAACTCTATGTAGACCAAGCTAACCTGAAGCTCACAATAGAGATCTACGTCCCTTGCCTCCTGGGTGTTGGAACTAAAGGGGTTTGCTACCACATCCAGTCTCTTGCTTTTTAACAATAAGATTTAGCTTACTTTGATTTCTTTTGGGAAATAGTTATCTTTATGTAAGTTTTTTATATTTATTTATTATGTATACAATGTTCTACCTGCATGTATGCCTGTAGGCCAGAAGAAGGCACCAGATCTCATTATAGATGGTTTATAGATGGTTGTAAACCACCATGGAAATTGAACTCAGGTCCTCTGGCTTTATGTAAGTTTTTAAGAGATACCTTTAACACACTTCCCTACATTTTTAATTTGGATAGTAATGGTCTTATATGGTTGTTAAGAAAATGACTGCTTGGAATCATAAATAAAAACTAGAGGACTATTTTAATTGTCAAATCCATTCTTTATTTCTTACAGAACATTAGCCCTGATCAAACCAGATGCAGTATCAAAAGCTGGAGAAATAATTGAAATGATAAACAAAAGTGGATTTACTATAACCAAACTCCGAATGATGACACTTTCAAGGTAATTAATGTGCTTCTTGTTTTCAGTTATGTTTCCATTTATCTGTCCCATAATTTTTAAATAAATAAAAGTAAAAAACAAAGAGCCCACAAAACAAAACAAACGCCTTTCACTAAATGGCAAATATAGACTACCATGAAGAAGCAAGACAATAGATAATTAGCTACTTAAACATAGACCTACCTCTAGGTAACTAGCAGTTGTCAGATTACATAGCCCTCATTTAGTTGTGTTGACTTCCATAACTCTGTTTGCTTTCATAACATCAATTCCTGACATAGTCTCTTCTATGTAAGAATAATGTACTGTATGAAAATAATAGAGGATGTGGCCATCCACTGATTTCTGTTAATTCTGGTTCCTGAAAGGGATGCATTTGGAAATGTTTATTTACACTTAACTCATCTTAATGTGTATGTCAATATGCCTGTTTACTTCTCTAAAAAGCAATATGGCTTAACCTAATTAGATATTTTTTAAAGTAATTAATGAAAATAAGACTTATCCTAATAAGCCTTTTCTATTAAAAAAATTATGATCCCAGGATAAAGTTTTCCTTATCATGGGAATGGTAACAAAGTATTGACAGTGTCAACGAATAGAGAAATGTGACTCCGTTCTCTTCAGTGTCAATGTCCTCCAATTCAAGGCAGGACAGAAATAAATGAACTGATGTAACACAGCAATTATTTTGTCAGTGATGAACTGTGTATTGTGGGGGTCTTATAAGATTCCCATGAAGATTAGAATTTTTTATCATATAGTCCTCATTCTATGGTACAACTTTGTCAATTGAGGTGATGCTGGTGGAGACAACAAATGGAGCTCCCATTATATAAAAGTAGAGCAGAGTATGCAATACTTAACTTACGCTGCTTTTGACAGTTCCACTCATGCTCAGGTCCAGTGTGGGCAATGACTGCAGCTGTGAGTTCATGATTGCAGGGGCTGTGTCATGCTCAACAGATAACATTTTGCAACTCTTCTTCCTACCTGCCATCTCTTTTATTCGTTCCACCCTTTCTTCTTCTGTGATTCTCCCTGAGCCATAGAGTGTATGGTATAAATATCTTGCTTCGGGCTCAGCACTCAGCTGTCTCTTGTCTCAGTACCTTGATTATCCTAGAATCTTTGCATTCATCACTGTTCACTGGAAAGACTCATCTGAGCAAGACCTTTGAGAGCGGCATTTGTCTGTGGGTGTAAACATAATTGCAGAGAAGACAGCTTGACACCTTGTCAATTTAGCTAAACAACAACAGTAGGTTTCCCATAGTGCTCTAAACCTCCCTAGCTATGGATGATTAAAAGATCTTAAAAGCATTGTTCACAAAATTAATTCTCAAGCCTAAAGGTTGATTATTTTTCTTTTTTGTTAGCAAACACTTGTAGTTTATTTGCTACTTTACAAAATAGTTGAGGGGGCTATAGAGATGGCTCATCAGTGAAGAGCACAGGCTGCTCTTCCAGAGGACCAGGTTCAGTTCTCAGCACCCCTGTGGTGGCTCACAACCATCTGTAACTCCAATCCCAAGTGATCTGCCACCCTCTTCTGGATCACTAAGTGTACTGCATGCATGTGGTAAACAGACATACAGGCTAAATCCTGTACATTTAAAATAAATTAACAAAAATTGTAAAAAATGGATTGATGTTTACATATATATATTTGTTACATAGTATAAATTCTTTTTAAACACAACAAGAAAGCTACACAGTTATAAGAAGACACCTGATTTTGGTGGGCAAAGAAAGCTTTTAGACCTTCAAGCTTACCGGAGTAGATTATAGTATCATTTTATTGTCTCTACAGATACCTTTAGTGGAAATGTAGATTTTAGTATGCATAATTTGTCAAGCAGTTTAAAAAATATGAACATACAGATCTATTCCTTGAAGAGGTATTACTCATAACTAATCAAAAACTACTAAATTAGGAAATTCAGGGTCTTGGGATGTCTCTCAGCAGTGGAGAGAGTGTTCTGTGACATGAGTGAGACCCTAGGTTTATTTCCAGTAGATGACAAAAGTAAAGTGAGCTGTGGCCAAAACTCTAAAGTTTAAAATTAATTCTAAGTTTTGAATTAGAATATGTCTCTTCATTTTTTAACACAAATTGTTTAGACTTTAAATAACATACATTCTTATTGATTTAATTGTATTGAGAATCCAGTGAAATGCTGATGAAATGGAAGACAGATGAAGTGTAACATTAATAAAAAATAAAAATATCCTCTTATTTAATATTATATCTCAGCATCCATAGGAACCATGCTTGAGATATGCTATTTGGTGAAAAAAAGCTTAATTTATATACAGACGCTATGCGTGCGTGCGTGCGTGTTTCTGTGTGCGTGTTTTAATCGAAACTTTGTTTTATTAATATAAGCTAAAGTTACTATTTTAAGAAATCTTGACTATTGTTATTTTGCTTATTTTACAGGAAAGAAGCAACAGACTTTCATGTAGACAACCACTCAAGGCCTTTTTATAAGTAGGTGCTTACTTAGGGACTAAAATTGTTTTTTCTACACTTTTACTAGAAAGACTTCTTATATACCACTAAATACTTGAACCTTAATCAGAAACACATGGATTGCTTAGTTAAGTTTTAAGAAGCATCCTTTTATATTTCATTGAATTGAAAATGTGTTTGTAATTATATATATTACATATATATATATATATACATATATATATATAGTTTGTTTTTGTTTTTGTTTTTCGAGACAGTTTCTCTGTGCAACAGTCCTAGCTCTCCTGGAACTAGCTCTGTAGACCAGACTCACGGAGATTCTCTTGCCTCTGCCTATCAAGTGCTGGGATTAAAGGCATGGGCCACCAATGCCGGGCTTATAATTATATTTTATGCTGGGAATTTTGTTGTGCTTTTAAGGTCTTTATTTTGGTAAAGTATATGTATAAAATGATAGAGAACTAAATAATTTGACACATATTTTGTTCCTCTCGAAATGGCTAATAGCTAATACTATTTGCTAGAAATTGAATTGATTATAAAAATTTTTGGATGTAATTAAAGTGAATAATGTACATAGCTATTGACAAGGGAATATCTATATTTCTTTTTTTAACTTTTTTTATTAATTAATTTTTACATTCCAATCCCAGTTCCCCCTCCCTCCTCTCTTCCTGCTCTCCCCACTTTCCCCTCTATATTTCTAATAAAGACAAATGAAATTTAGCCAATCTGCTACAGTAGGCATATTATTTGATACTATACATAGAATAACTTTTTTAAAAAGAAGAACTTTATTTAATAAAACTACTATATTATAGCTTAATCAGATATTAGAAAATACTTCTAAGCTTTGTTAGAATTATCATATACCTTTTTTGGCAATTATCCTTTGTTTTAAGTTCTTTGTTTTTATAACACTGAATCATAATTCCTAGTTTAATATCTTACATGCAGTTCTTATGCAGAAAGTTTGAGCAACTTAGATCAACAGTATGCATTTCAAGTTAGTGAAATATCAGAATTCAACAGGCCTTTCCCTTTGTAAACAGTAGTGAACCTGACATAAGTTCTGTAATGATTTTGTAGCAAACTAGATCCATTCATGAGATGAGGGTTTTGCACTGCCCATATTGAATTCACTGTGCCCAGAAATCCTAGACCCTGAAATTACTGATGTTCAAAAGTTATCTTCAGCCGGGCGGTGGTGGCGCATGCCTTTAATCCCAGCACTCGGGAGGCAGAGGCAGGCGGATCTCTGTGAGTTCGAGGCCAGGCTGGACCGACAGCCTCCAAAACAATACAAAGAAACCCTGTCTCGAAAAACCAAAAAAAAAAAAACAAACAAACAAACAACAACAACAAAAAGTTATCTTCATTGTTAAGGCAGGTGTCTAGATTGACAGAGTGGAGAAGTAATTCAGACTCTTCCCTGTTTCCTAGCGAACTGGTCCAGTTTATTGCAAGTGGGCCTGTTATTGCCATGGAGATTTTAAGAGATGATGCCATATGTGAGTGGAAAAGATTGCTTGGACCGGCAAACCCTGGCTTAGCCCGTACAGATGCCCCCGGAAGCATCAGAGCCCTCTTTGGGACAGATGGCATAAGAAACGCAGCTCATGGCCCTGATTCTTTTGCATCTGCTGCCAGAGTAAGTTCTTTTAAGAAATATTTTTCTTCTGCTTTGTTTGGGAAATTTGTTTTATGTCAGAATAAAATATTTCTCCAACTGAGGACTTTGGGAGGATTTAAACAGCTGATGTAGTGGTGGCAAACAACTTTTGACATTTTCCTAGGGTCAAGTAATGAGTGGTTCAAAGCACGCCTCTTCTTTATATTAGTTGGGTTGGTCACAGCAGAGTGCAGTTTTCTCCAAGTCTGCCATTTGTTGCCATACTTCTTTATATGTAAAGGCATAAATGCTGAGTCTCATGTTGGTGACTGAATTCAATTAAGAATCCTAGTCTACAGATCTGTAGTAAGTAGCTATTCCAAAAGAAGGCTTCATTGGAGTAGTCTGTAATTCAGACCATGTAGTGTTGTTAGCTAAGTAGGAGTCTAGGGGAAACACTAGAAATACATTGAGCGTGCAGCATGTGTGAAGATGCAAGAAGTCTTGGACCAGCAGGGTGGCTTAGTGGGTAAAGGCGCTTGTATCAACACTTGGTGTCCTGAGTTTGTTAACGGGGGCCTCTGTGGTGGAAGGCGAGAATTTATTCCTGTAAGTTGTTCTTGGGCCTCTGGCCTGCATGGCGGGCAGACAGATAGACGTAATTTCAAAGCAAAAAAGTTTCTTTCTTTAAAAAAAAGAATGAAATCTAAGTCTTAGCAACAACAACAACAAAATAATAATAGTGAGAATTATCCTGTAAGCAGCTTCAATAGAAGATTGGATTTGAGTGTTTTAACAGCTTATTTGTAATAACCCAAACTAGAGATATCACAAATGTCCAGCAGATGAACAAATGAACAAGCCATGCTGTAGCCATACATGGCATATTATTGTCAAAAGGAAGGAAGGAAGGAAGAAAGGATGGATTACAGGGAGTGAATCTCAAAATATTTTTTGAGTGAAAGAAGATAGAAAAAATAATGTATGAATCTGTATAAAATTTTAAAGATTGGCTTATAGTGACAAAAGCAGGCTAATAGTCAATAATATTAGTTAATTATTCTTTTATAATGTCCTGCCAATAGAATCACTGAAACATACAGTATTTGAGTAAGTTCTCCTCCCTCTTACTTCTGTTTTAAAGAAGTATTTGCACCTCAGAATAGAAGGGAGACGGTTAGAGAAGAGGCTGGGGAGGATAGAGGAAAGAGTAAGGGGGGTAATATGGAACTGGATAGGATCACAGGGTATGTTGAATTTCTATGCAAATATCCCATGAGGCCTATTATTCTATATAATTTAATGTACACTAATGAAGTATGAAAGTTCCTTAGTATAGCTTTGATTTATTTTATTGTAAATTTGAGTCAGGGTCTCACTGTGTATCCATATTGACCTGGAACTTATTATATAGGACAGGTGGACTTGTACTACCAGTGGACCTCCTGCCTCTGTCTGTCTGCCTCTCTGCCTCTGCCTCCTGAATGGTAGACTTGCTCTTTCAAGTATAAATTCAGAGAAAAGAAAATACTAACTCTGAGGCAGGTTTTGTTTTAGGTGTTTTGGAAGTTACTAGGCTCTGCAAGTTGGTTCTTTTCTTCAAATGTATGATTTGGTTGCTGACAAGTCACAGCTGTCATGAATGTATGGCACTGTTTGGGAGCGTCAGGGAAATTTTTCTAGAGGTGATAGCATTCAGATAGTTCTGTGTTCACTGGCAAATGTTTTGGAGCCTGGAACAGAGGTTTTTATGGAGAATATAGTGGAAAGAATAGTGCTGAAAGCTTAGGGACAGCATTTAAGTAATTAAAATAACTGACTAATATGAACATCTTTGGTTCATTCAGATTGCTGACTTCTTGGTTTAATGAGCTTTGAGCAAAGCAATAACTACTGTGTGAATCAGGCCATAATATGTTGCTCATTTTGATTAATAATAGAACTATTGTAAATTATTCATTTTTCTGTTTTTATAAGGATGCCCTTGTTTTAACTTTTTTATATTTTATTTTTTAAGTTTAATATTAAACTGTATTTATGAACTATACTTTTGGAAACATAAGAACTTCGTATTTTTTTCCAGTTCTCAGAATTTGTTGAAGACTGCCACTTATAATAGAGGTCACACAATGAGGTCTTCACATTTGCTATAATACTGTTTGCATGTTCTGATTGTTAAATGCTGAAATGAAGCTAAGCTACTCAGTCTGCAAATTCACATTTAAAAAATTGGAAATAGAATTTATATCATGAAACTTTAAAAGTAATTGTATATCTTCAGAAATATTCTGCAAGTTTCAGATAGGAGATCATCTTTTCTCATCTTTCTGTATCTACAGGAAATGGAATTATTTTTCCCTTCAAGTGGAGGCTGTGGACCAGCAAACACTGCTAAATTTACTGACTGTACCTGTTGCATTATTAAGCCCCATGCCATTAGTGAAGGTAAGTGCTATGTTGTACATGTTTTATTAATTATAATAGCTTATTTTGTCAATGTTTGTTTTCTTGCTGTGTTTTACATGATGAAATTAAAGTATACATTAGCATTTCAGTTTTTTCTTTGAAAGTACATGAATCAAGGCAACATTTAGAGATACATCTGTCTAACTTTCTGTCTTTATTTTGGTATTTGTGCATTCTTAGTAACTGTTCCTTTGGCTGTTGATCATGGTCATACTCATTCATGCTTTGAACAGATCTTGCTTCCTTGCCTTCTAACTATCCTTCTGTCTTTCCAACCATATAATAGGTTCACTCTCTTCACTTAAATAGCATTCCAAGTACATATATGAAGCATTGTTCATAGGTCTGGAGAAATGACTCATCAGTTAAGTGCAGTTGTTCTTGCAAGGGACCAGGTTCAGTTCCCAGCACCCACATGGTAGCTCCCAACTATCCACACTCCTGTTATATGGAATCTGATGCTGTCTTCTGACCTAGAGAACACCAGACATGCACATGTTGCACATACCTACATGCAGGCAAAACACTCATACACATAAAATGAATATTTAAAAAATTAAACAGTGTTTATTACACCCAGAGCACATCTTCCCTGAAAAAGTTGAGGATGTTCCCTCCAATTCTCTATATCTGAAACAGTTCTTTGATGGACATGAATATCCATATTTATGTGTGTCTATGTCACACACACACATATGTGTTGTGTACACTGAGAGTATGCAAGTTCATTTCTTGTTTCCATCTGTTTCTTCATGTGTTTGAGTCTGTTGTGTTCATCTCTATCAGTTACTCTAAGTTGTTTTAGAAATGAGATGTTAAATTTAAAAGATATTCCTTGAAGACAAGAATATACTGAGTAATATGCAGAATTGAGCATAGTTTTTATGTAGTCTAAGCATACATACAGTACAAAAACTTGGAAATTGCATATACATATTTGTTTATGAGACAATAAAAATTTACCCAAATCAGGCATGCTGGTACACACTTGTAATTCTAGCACTCAAAGTCTGAGGCAGGACAATCATGTTATTTAAGTCATCCTGAGCTACATAGGGATTTTCAGACCAACCTGGACTATATATATAGCAAGACCTTGTTGCAAAAACTGAAAACTGCTTCCTAATACTAGACTTCTCATTGTTAATATTTTGATGTATTTTTCCTGCATTTGTGTGTGTATGCACATATGATACATAAATATGAGCATAATGTAGCTGAGATGTATGTCTCTATTCTGTTGCTGTAATTTCAATTTTATGAGCATTGGGTCTTTCTTTGAGACTTCATGAATATTTTAATTACTGATTGAATATTCCATAACAGTCATATGTACTGTATTTGGATACTTGGATTGTTTCTGGTTTTTTATTAAGAATAACTCGTGCCTTCTTTTGTGCTTCTTGTCTTCTGCTGGTTTATCTGGTCTAACTTTGATGTGATGGTTTTTGTTGTATCTTATTATTTTGTTTTTTTTTTTTTTGTTGTCCCTTAGAAGCCTGTTCTTTTCTAATGAGAGAAAGGTGGATCCTGGTAGGAAAGGGAGTTGGGAGCAACTGGGAGGAGTCAAGGGAGGGGAAACTATAATCCGGATATATTGTATGAGAAAAAATGTATTTTCAATAAGAGGGTAAAAATAAAGATTTTGAAGAATATCTTTTTACATAAATATTTGATGGTATTTCCAATCATTTCCTCTGGCTACGTTTTTTAGAAGTCATATTATTGGTTGAGAGGATATGAACCTTACAGATCTTATGCATAATTAATGCATCTTTAATTATTTAGAAAGTGCTTTATCCACATACTGGTCTTTGGGAACATAATTGTGGGGCATTTCCATGCATGATGGGTAATAAACACATATGTTAGTTACCACTCTGCCAGATAGCAGGAGTGGTCAAAGCCTTAGACATCATCTGTTTGAGTGGGCGGGACGAGGATGCCATGTAGGTAGAGTTGTCTTTCTTTTCCAAGCAAGCTAGCTGCAGTCCTGAGAGATTGAGATTGTTTTCCTTAATGTAGAACAGGAAGCCCAGGATCCAAAGTGTTCTGTTCTGGTTGTGTTTGTTTGAGACAGGGTCCCATTTCACCCAGGCTGACCTGAAACTCACTCTGTAGCTCAGGATGACCTTGAAATCCTGATCCTCCTGTCTACTGAGTGTGCTGGCCTAAGAGGCATATGCTACCATGAAAACCCTGTGTTTCTAATTTTCATGTTCTCAACATCAACAAAAACTCAAACATCACATGGCTGGTAAATTTTCACAGGAAATGATAGCAATGTAGATGGCCAACAACCTCTGTGGTAATAATGAAGTACAGTCTAAAGTCTCACATCAAATTTATTTTTTAAGATGTATTTATTTATTATGTATACAGTGTTCTGTCCTCATGTATGCCTGTGTGACTGAAGATAACACCAGATCTCATTATACATGCTTGGGAGCCACTATGTGCTTGCTGGGAATTGAGCTCAGGACCTCTGGAAAAGCAGCCTGTGCTCTTAACCTCTGAGTCATCTCTCCAGTCTTCAGATTAAATTTATCACTATATTTGTGTGCTCCCTATAAATTTCCAGTTAAGGCAGCACTTACTTTTCCAGCCCAGCCATATATGTATACATATATGCAAATGTGCATATACATACATACATACATATATGTAACATAACACATATAAATCCCTAAGAATGTCTGTTTATATATGATGTACATATATGAATTTTCTGCCTTGGAGTGGTATATATTTATAAATAGGTATATATTTGTAAATGGTATGCAAAATTTTTCATAGATTTTACATCTGCACATACATAACATAGCATAACACTGTATAAACATAACACTGGTTTGAATGTGAGGAAGCAAATTCTTACTTAAATTTCTCAACTTCAGCATCGTAATGTGTTTTATTCAGTTAGGTATCTGTCTGATTTAATCTGAGGACCAAACCCAGGGCCTTCCACTTGCTTGGCAAGCACTCTATCATTGAGATAAATCCTCATCTCCTGCTTAAATTTTTTATAAAGAAACAAATGTGATACTAATGTAAAATAAAGCAAGATTAGGATAAATACTAGCTATATAACTTAAGCCACACAGGTAAACATAAGTGAGATCTAATAAAATATATTAATTAATGACTATGTCAAGATGCTAAACTTTATTGCAAATGTGCATATAATTTTTTACTTATATGCATTTAAATAATTCTGGTTAGAACTATTCTTTTCATCTGTCTTTTCTCTTTGGAACTAGGAATGCAACCCAGGGCTGTGCTTAAACTAGACAAGGGCTTTGCTATTGTGCCACAGTCCCATCTACTTTTCAAGCTTGAAAACATTAAAATTAATTGATTTAACATAAAATTAATTAAAATCTTCTCAGGTGCCAGAATGAATTTTGGTATTTTAGGGTTTTTAATAACTTTTTTCTTTTATTTCTAAACTTGAATTACAGTGATACTTTGTGATTGTTTTGGAATTTGTGATTAGTTCAATTCTCTGTGTTAATAATGAAACTGAAAGTTTGAAGTCTTATGTCAAAATTTTGTGACCCTGTCATTTTTTTTTGTATTTATCTCATTCTGTAATGATCCCTTACACTGATATATTGATTTTTACTCATGGGCTACTCTAGACAGAGGCAAAGATTTAAAAGGGAGCATCTGGTTGGAGAAGGACTGAAATGGAATGTGTTGAACCCTGACTTCCTTCAGAATTCCTGAGTACCTGATAACATAGAAACCTGCAGTAGGTTTCCTGCCCACTACCTAACCTGTAAGGAAGAGCACAGCCTTGATGCTGTGGAGAGGCCATTGGAAAACTGTCTAGGATGGGCTCTTCTGACTTTGCAGTGACCTGATGGAGACTGCAAAGTTCATACCACACTTTAGGGTTGGAATATCATACATCTAAAGATTCAGAGCTAGGATCCACAGATAAGAGAACATATGGTGTTTGTCTTTCTGAGTCTGGGTTACCCCATTTAGTATATTTTCCAGTTCCATTTTTGTCAGTTCCATAGTTTTACCTGCAAACTTCATGATTTCATTTTTCATGACAGCTTAATAATATTCCATAGTATGTATGTACCACATTTTCATTAATCATTTGTAAATCGAAGGACATTTATGTTGTTTCCATTTCCTAGCTATCATCGAGCCCTTTAGGCATATGCCAAGGAGTAATAAAGTTGAGACATATGGTAGATCTGCATTTAGCTTTTTGAGAATTCTCCACGCTGACTTCCATAGTGTCTACACCAGTTTGCAACCGCTGGCATCCTTGCTAACATTTATTGTCAGTTGTTTTCTTGATCTTAGCTATTCTGTCTATGAAAAGATAAAATGGTTTTTAATTTGCATTTCCTCAATTGACCAGGATGTTGAATACTTTAAAAGATATTTCTTAACTATTCTTATTTCTTCTTTTGAGAGCTCCCTGTTCAGATCTGTAGGGTCATTTGGTTTCTCGATTCTTTGTTTTGGGGGTTCCTGTGTATTCTGAATATTAATCTGTCAGATGTCTAGCTGGCAAAGGTTCTTCTCTCCCATTCTGTGGGCTCTGTCTTCACTTGTTTTTTTCTTAGTGTCATCAGGCTCCATTTCTCAATGGTTGGCCTTACTATTTAGAAAATGTTTACCTACACCTGTATCATGTAGGGCACTGCCTGTGTTTTCTTTTGCAGTTTCAGTACTTCAAGTTTCACATCGAATCCTTTATCCTCTTGGAGGTGATTTTTGTGCAGGGTGATAGATGTGGATATACTTTCATTCCTCTATGTGTGGACGTCCAGTTTTCTTAGGAACTTTCAATGTCCTTAGTGATTTGTTAGTTAGGAAAAATCCCAGGAATTGTGCTCACCCTTAAAGAATTGTTTCTTTAAGAAAGGATAGCAGTTAATGGCTCCAAGAGATTGGTTTGCAATAAGATGCCATTTAGAGATGGAACATTAGGGCTGGGGATGCAGCTCAGG